TCTTTGACATCAATACAATACAAAGTGTTTAAAACCTCTACTTTAAACTCTCTTTCGCTCACCAGCTCTTTGGAAAGTTGTTTGCAGCAAGCAATCCAAGTTTCAGACTTGGGAGGGTGAAATCACCTATTCTGTGCTGTTGCCTGAAAGGAGATCCCTGAGGCTTAGATACTGATTGACTTTGGCCAAGAAGTTGTGATGTTATTTAAAGGGCCTGGTGTGAAGTCTCACTCGGGGGAGGGGACCCACCTTGAGCTGGATCAGGGGTACCCACAGGCCACTTTGGATTTATCTTATCTCTTCAACAGGTACCAGATGGGCCCTGCCATACAGGTCTAGCCCACAAAGCCTGGGAGAGCCCGAGGCCTGCAGATTCCGAAGAAGGTGCTACCAGAGCCAATTATTTTCGTTTTAGTTTGTCATAACTGATACGGGCTTATCTTTCTGGTGGCATTTCCTCAAAGGGCTCCTCTGCTTTTTTTTTTTTTTTTTTTTTTTAAAGCTTGTCCTAGTACAAGAGCTAAGCTCAAGGTGCTATCATAGCATGGAGGACATGCCTGAGTTATTTGCTGTGGCAGGAAGACATGCACTGAGCTCATCTAAAACCTATAAGACATTGTTCAGGAATGAAGCAAGAGGTCTTAGGAACAGCCTTGCGTTATACTTTTTAAGCTTGGTTTAAAGGAAACATCCATCCACTCTGGCTCTGGAGGAGATGCTGTGGTCAAGGTTTTCAGGAATGTTGATAGCGCGGAATTGGCATTAGCCCACAGACGGTTCCCGTCCACCAAATGAAAGTCTAATGAGAGCCTGATGCATGCAGAAGCTTGCAAAAGCTGGACACTGTCAGGTTCTTATGAAACTCATTTCAAAGGAGGTGTAGGCAAACATGGCTCTGGGAAACCCAAGCAGTTTAAACAGTTGCTCAACTGATGCATGGCGTGGGCCCAGAGACATGGAAGTGTGAAACAGAGTGCAGGGTCTCAGAGGGAAGGTGGGGGGCAGTGGGTGGGTGGGAGGTGATCAACCAAAGAACTTGTGTGTATATATGCATAACCCAAGGACACAGACAATAGGGTAGGGGCAGGGGGTAGGGTGGGCTGGAGGTGGGTCAATGGCAGAAAAAGAGGGACATATGTAATATGTTCAGCAATAAATATTTTTAGAAAAAAAAATAAACAGTTGCTCAAAAACTAACTCACCATGGATGTGAGTACTTCATAGTGGTGTGTGAAATCATTATTAGAGAACGTCTCAAAATCTACCAAATAAGCCCTCGATGGTTTGGCTCAATGGATAGAGCATTGCCCTGAGGACTGAAGAGTCCCAGGTTCGATTCTGGTCAAGGGCACGTACCTAGGTTGCAGGCTCAATGCCCTGGCCTTGGTCAGGGTGTATGTGGGAGGAAACCAATGGGTGTGTCTCTCACATCAGTGTTTCTCTGTCTCTCCCCCTTTCTTCCACGCTCTCTAAAAAGCAATGGAAAAATATCCTCTGGTGAGAATTAATAAACAACAACAACTACCAAATGAAGACTTTTATAAAAAGGCATTTTCTCATCAGGTCAGATATTTTATCATTGGCTTCAGTCTCTCCTGAAGTCTTTTTCTTCAAAGCCAATTTAATTCCAAAGATCAGCATACTATTTCTTCTGTGTGACCCTCCGAATTCTCAATTCTGCAAACAAAAACAACTACGGTATTAAAATGTCTTCCAGCCCTAACCGATTTGGCTCAGTGGATTAGAGAGCATCGACCTGTGGACTGAAGGGACCCCAGTTTGATTCCGGTCAAGGGCATGAACCTTGGTTGTGGGCACATCCCCAGTAGGAGGTGTGCAGGAGGCAACTGATCAATGTTTCTCTCATCGATGTTTCTCTCATCCCTCTCCCTTCCTCTCTGTAAAAAATCAATAAAAATATATATATTTTTAAAATGTTTTCCAGAGTGATCATTTCCTAAGGTATATAAATATCTAATCGCTATGCTATACACCTGAAACTCATATAACATTGTATGCGAGCTGTAATTGAAAAACAAAAATTTTTAAATTTCTTCCAGCTGATGGGAGAGCAGACAGGCAAGGAGGCCTTTGTGCCTTTTATCTGAGGATTTCCTTTCGCATAAACATGTATGATGGATCTGGAGTGAGACTTCATGGATTCAAATCCTGACTTCACCTCAGTTTAGCTATGCTAGCTTGAGTAAGTCACATAACCTCTCTGAACCCCAGATTCCTCCTCTGTAAATGGGGAAACAGACGCTGCTCGAAGCTCCAGTAAAATCCCAAACGCAGAGCTGTCACATGGTAAACCCACAGCTTTTATATTTACACTTGATGATCGTGGAGGCCCAGAGGTACAATTCCTACCTGATGAACTAGGACATCCCAGCTTTCCCACGGGCTTGCCCTCCCCCTCCCTCCCCCAGCCTTGTTGTGAAGACCTTTTCTAAAAAAAAAAACAAAAAAAAAAAACAAAAAAAAAACAACTTTGCACCAGCCAGCAGCAGGATCGGGTGCAGCCAGCCCGAGGCCCGCGCTGGAGGCCCCGCCTCCCGCCCCGGGCTCCCCCTTTGAAAGAAGCGCCCCCACCTCCAGCGCACGCGCCCGGATCAGGCCTTGGCCCGCGGGCGCGGCTGTGCGTGCGCGGCGGAGGGTGGTGGCGGCCCGCACCCGCCCTCGGCCGCCTCCCCCGTCGCCGCCCCGGCGTGTCAGGTGCCGTGAGAAGCGCCGAGGGACATGACTGGAGCCGGCTTTCCAGAAGCCACGCACGCAAGGCACAGCTCTGCACGCAAGGGGGAGGCGACCGCAGAGGAACTTTTCAACCCCGTCAAGTTCTCTCCCCCCTCCTCCTCCTCCTCTGCCCTTCCTCCGCCCTGCGGGAATCCTCAGCGATCCCCCCCGCCCCCCTCCTCTCCAGCCCCCAGCTGGAGAGGAGCCCGACAACCAGGGCCCGGGACCGAGACAATCAGGCCTGCGCGGGCCCGCGCCCTCCGGCGGGCGGCGCCACCTGCAGGCGTCTGCACGGGGAAAGCTCGGGGCCAGCTGCGCCCAGCGCTGCCAAGGACAGCGGGGCCCCGGGGCGGGGAGCGGCGTCCTGCGGGGGTTCTGACATCGCTGCACGACATATGCACAGGAGCCTCACCAGCGGTCACGGACAACAGGGGGCGGGGGCATGCGTGGGGAAGGGTTTGGGATAGGAAGGGGGGAGGGGATGAGGACAATTATGGGATACATTAATCAATAAAGAAATTTTAAAAAGGGCTTCATTTATGCATATGTCATATGAGCCTCGCCAGTGGTTGCAGACAACAGGGGGAAGGAGGGACCCGTGAGGAGGGGTTTGGGATGGGAATGGGGGGATGAGGACAATTATGGGATACCTTGATTGATAAAGATTTTTTTTTTAAAAAAAAGGGCTTCCTTGGAGGGCCTTTTGCTTTCGAGAACGTTCAGATACAATAACGAGGGAGGCTGTCGTGGGCAAACCCTCGCCACAAACCACACTTCCCTCTTTTTCCAGACGGACAGGTTTCCTCTCCTGGCTAAGGGCGCCCAAGCAATCCCGAGCGGCGTTCTCTGGGGACCGAAGCTTAAGTCCCTGGAAGGGAAAAAAGGGAGTTTCGGGGAGCGCATTCCGCGGAAACTGTGCGGTCACGATTTGGGGGGGTGACTGTGATCAAGAGCGGCTTTCGGGTGCACGGAAAGGTCAGACCGCCGCCACCAGGAACGTCCCCACCAGCTCCTTCTCCAAGGCCGTCGGGGCGCGCCCCGGAGCCGCCTCGCGTGACCACCTGCGAGCCCGGGACCGCCCGCGCCCCGCCCCCCGCGGCCCCGCCCCGCCAGGTCCGCCGCCTCCCTCCGCTCAGACCTTAAAAACGGACGGCGCTCCGACTCCGGAGGCGCCGGCTGTGAGCACACGGGCCACGCCTCTGCGGCTCCAGCTGTCAGAGCCGCCACCAGCTCGGGGGTCGTGAGAACGGGGGGGATTGCCTCCACGCATACACCCCTCACCTGAATCCCCACGCCGTTAGGAAACCCCACGTGCAGCGGGGCTCAGCGAAGGAGCCCCTTCCTCCACCCCCACCCATCCCAGCGCCCCTAGCTCTGACCGCGCCTCCCGGCTCCGGAGCCAGCGCTGAGGCTCCGGCAGCAGGTGCCGGGGCGGGCGCCCCGCTCTCCCGAGACGCTCAGGTCGCCGCCTCGCCCCCGCCCCTTCTCGGAGCCCGTGGGCCCTCGCCGCCGCTGGAAACCGTGCCTCTTCGCAGGTCAGTGTGTCCGCCGAGCTGCCTTCCCTTCCCGCGGCCCCTCCTGTTGGGTTCTCGCAGATAAGGGGGCAGGGAGTGGGGAGGAGGTGCAGGGCCGGGGTGATAGTCACTTAGAGGGCGCTGAGCGCCTCCATGGCCGCCGCGTGGTCCCCGAATGGCAGGGACCGTTAGGCGGCTGCGGCGGGATGGTGAGGCTGATGGCAGAGAAGCAGAAACATGCCCCTTTCCGCCGAAACCAGTTTGGCTCAGTGGATAGAGCGTAGGCCTGCAGACTGAAGGGTCCCGGGTTTGATTCCGGTCAAGGGCATGTATCTTGGTTTCGGGCACTTCCCCAGTAGGGGATGTGCAAGAGGCAGCTGATTGATGACTCTCTCAACGATGTTTCTAACTCTATGTCTCTCTCTCTCTTCCTCTGTGTAAAAAAAATCAATAAAATGCATTTTAAAAAAGAAAGAAAGAAAGAAAGAAAGAAAGAAAGAAAGAAAGAAAGAAAGAAAGAAAGAAAGAAAGACTCCCCCTTCCTTTTCCTATGAGGAGTGGGTTTGGGATGGGGAAGGACGTCTTCAGCTGCTTCTCTAGGGAGGCAACCCTTCCTGGCAACACCTTCCTCCCACTCCCCGCGCCCCTCCCCCGCCTCCCTCCCCAAGCGCTCATGGCTCAGCCCCAGGCCGTGGACAGGAATTAATGTCCTCACACCTGAAGGTCCCGCCTCTGCGCTTCTCTCTCTGCAGCATGGCCACCAGGCTCAGCCTCGACGACCCGCTGCTGCCCATCACGCTGTCGGCCCAGCAGACCACGCTGCTGCTGCTGCTCTCGGTGCTGGCCGCCGTGCACGTGGGCCAGTGGCTGCTGCGGCAGCGGCGCCAGCCCCCCGGGTGCGCGCAGCAGCCCCCGGGCCCGTTCGCGTGGCCGCTGATCGGGAACGCCGCGGCCCTGGGCCCCGCGCCGCACCTCGCCTTCCAGCGCCTGGCGCGGCGCTACGGCGACGTCTTCCAGATCCGCCTGGGCGGCTGCCCGGTGGTGGTGCTCAACGGCGGGCGCGCCATCCGCCAGGCGCTGGTGCAGCAGGCCACGGCCTTCGCCGACCGGCCGGCCTTCGCCTCCTTCCGCGTGGTGTCCCGCGGCCGCAGCCTGGCGTTCGGCCGGCACTCGGAGCGCTGGAAGGCGCAGCGGCGCGCGGCGCAGGGGGCCATGCGCGCCTTCTCGCCGCTGCAGCCCCGCGGCCGGCGCGCCCTGCAGGCGCATGTGCTGGCCGAGGCGCGCGAGCTGGTGCGGCTGCTGGTGCGCGGCAGCGCGGGCGGCGCCGCCCTGGACCCGCGGCCGCTCACGCTGGTGGCCGTGGCCAACGTGATGAGCGCCGCGTGCTTCGGCTGCCGCTACGCCCACGGCGACGCCGAGTTCCGCGAGCTGCTCAGCCACAACGAGGACTTCGGGCGCACGGTGGGCGCGGGCAGCCTGGTGGACGTGCTGCCCTGGCTGCTGCGCTTCCCCAACCCGGTGCGCGCCACCTTCCGCGAGTTCGAGCTGCTCAACCGCAACTTCAGCGGCTTCGTGGAGGACAAGTTCCTGCGGCACCGCGACAGCTTCCGCCCCGGCGCCGCCCCGCGCGACCTGATGGACGCCTGCATCCTCTCGGTGGCCAAGGAGGCGGCCCCGGGCTCCTCCGAGGGCTCCGGCGACGGCGCCGCGCGGCTGGACGAGGACGACGTGCCGTCCACCGTCACCGACATCTTCGGCGCCAGCCAGGACACGCTCTCCACCGCGCTGCAGTGGATTCTCGTCCTTCTCACCAGGTAAAGCCTCCCGGAGGCGGCGTGGGTCAGGCCTTGCTGTCCTCCTAGAACAGGTGCATGGGAGCCGAAACCGGTTTGGCTCAGTGGATAGAGCGTCGGCCTGCGGACTGAGGTGGGGTCCCAGGTTCGATTCCCATCAGCGGCATGTGCCTTGGTTGTGGGCCCATCCCCAGTGGGGGGAGGGAGTGTGTGCAGGGGGCAGCTGATCGATGACTCTCATCGATGTTTCTGACTCTCTGTCCTTCTCTCTTCCTCTCTGTAAAAATTCAATAAAAAATATAAATTAAAGAAAGGTGAATGGGGGGGGGTTGGGAGGCAATGGGGAGATAAGGACACACATGCAATTCCTTAATAAAATAAAATTAAAATTAAATAAAGCCAAAAAAAGTGCAGTGGGACCAGCATAGGCTGAAGTCGCGACCAGTGCGCCAGGAGGATTTGAGGTTGCGCTGCAGGACACATCGCGTCCTCAAACCACAAGGCAGAGGCAGCAGGAGGGCTAGGGACACGCGAGCGGGCACGCCCCACCCAGCGGGACCTCTCCGAATCTCTGATCTTGTCGATGCGTCTCCAAGTAGGAACACATTTGTGAGAACCCCCCTGGAAAACAAGATTTTATTAAGTGCCCGCAGATCAGCCCAGATCTCTTCCTCCCTGCCACGGGAGAAGCAGCATTGGAAAGAAGGAAAGGGTGGCGCGGTTAGTGTGTTAAATGCTCACCGCAGCCTTAGCCAGCTCCGCCCGCCCGTCCTCCGCGCAAGTCTGGAGGCCCCAAGCTTGGCCCCGGGTGTGTAGTCCACGTGGACGTTTTAGGAAGGAGGTCGGGAACCAGCGGGTTGTGCAGGATTCTGTAAAACAGCCGCGCTGGGAGTAAGAGAATTGTCTTACGGGTGAAGAACTGGAGAGGCAGTCGCTCTTACCCAGCGCAGAACAGGGCATCCAGGAGGCCCCTGAGGACCTCCTGGCCCCTGGGCTCTGCTCGGTCGGTTAGCTGGTCTCCAGAGACCATCTTAAGATCTGGGATCTTTATGAAGCTCCGGAAACGCAGGAATCAGACAAGTTCCTCATATCACTTGGTGCCAAATTTAGCAAATAGATTAGCCATTGTTTTTGTCTGGCAACTCCACCCCAGGGGGCAAATGTCTGGCTCAAGGCAAATCGTCATTGCCTGGAGAGACCTGAAACGCTGGTGGTGGCATTCCTTGGTGGCACAGGTTAGCTGTGGGGAATGCTGCATTTTCTTTCTGACGCCTCCGATATGGAAAGGCAAAGAAAGCTTTTTATTAGAATCCCCTGCAACACTGCAACCCTTAGATCCTGTGCTGCTACTTTCACAAATGGAACATTTTGAATATTTAACATCGCTTCTTGTATTATGATCACAGAAACTCACAGTGGGGGAGGTAGGTCAGAAAGAAAACATCCCAGAAAGAGATCAGTAAATCTTTAGCGTTCCCAGATTAAAATATTATCTTTTGAAACAGACTTTCTCTTTTGGCAACAGATTGGGCAGAGAAAGGAAATTAAACAAGGTTGAGGTCACCTTCCATTCCATATAGCTGATAAGTACATTTTTCGTCATCCACGTCTGTAAATAGGTTTTATCAAAAGGAATAAAATACATTTATCTATTGGCTATGGCTGCTTTCATACTGCAGCACTGGCAGAGTTGAACAATTGGGGCAAAGAGGGTTTGGTCTGCAGGGTTGCAGTAATTATTTACTTTTTATTTTTTTTACTTCTGACATTTCCGCTATTGTAATGGCTATTTCCCCATCTTTTAAACTTTATTTTGGTAATTTAAAAAAATTATATTGGTAGATTTCTAACATGTCTACATTAATAATTTTTGATAGTCACATATTTTGCCATAGTAATGTAATCATTGCATATAACCATTGCTTGAGCTTTACTGTGGTCGTTTGCATTTTAAAAATTTCAGCCGTTGTTGTGGTTATGTATTTTTGTATTTGTTATCTCCTGAAAAATACATTGCTAGGTGGATTACCCTTTTGGACCTTGCTTTGGAATAAGATTTTGTTTTCCAAAAGGACTGTGCTAGTGTATGTCACCAATAGTGAATGCGTATTTCAATTGGTACCATAATCTCATGAACACTGAGAATTTGCTTTCACATTTAGACGATATGCCAATCACCTTTGTACCAACGAGAACAGTAGGGAGATTAGGCGGGGAAGGATCTTCTTTCAGGGCTGCATTTTAACTTTTATGGGCCTTGGGTGCTTTGCTTTTGTCTTTGTAGATATCTTACTCCATAAAAAAAGAAAATTGTATTTTATGAATATATTGGTATAAAGATAAATACATTAAAATTATGTTAAAACATTTTCCTTGACCGAAAAGTTCATTTGAAAGAAAATATTTCTTGGGCCTCTGAAAAGTATTTTGAGTCCTAAGCATTGTGCCTGTAGGAGAAGTTGGCCTTGTCCATTATCAGACTGTTTCAGGCTGAGAAAACTTAGAACCTTTTTTGACTTATGATAGGAGAGAGAGTGTTAGCCATGGGAGGCCTAGTACAGGAAATGTAACCCCTAACTTATCCATCTTGCAATTTAGTGAGGAATTAGGAAATTGTTTTAGTTTTTTTTGTTTTTGGTTTTGTTTTTTTTTTTTGCGTGGGGGGGGGGGCACAGAAAAGTGAAATCAGCCCCCGATTCAGATAAAGAAAGTGGGATTAAAATAAATTGTAACGTGCTTTCTACGTCAAAGAAGAATGAGTTTTCCTCACCCGTTTTTTTTCTCCCTCTGCATTGTTACCAAATAGGTACCCTGCAGTGCAGGCCCGGCTGCAGGCAGAACTGGATCAAGTCGTGGGTCGAGACCGGCTGCCCTGCCTGGACGACCAGCCCAAACTGCCCTACACCATGGCCTTTATCTACGAAGCCATGCGCTTCTCCAGCTTCGTGCCCATCACCATTCCTCACGCCACCACCGCCGACACCTCCGTCCTGGGCTACCACATCCCCAAGGACACGGTGGTGTTTGTGAACCAGTATTCCGTGAACCACGACCCCGTGGCGTGGCCTCGCCCGGAGGACTTCGATCCCACCCGGTTCTTGGACCAGGACGGCCGCTTCAGCAAGGACCTGGCCAGCAGCGTGGTGATTTTTTCGATGGGCAAGCGGCGCTGCATCGGGGAAGAGATCTCCAAGACGCTGCTGTTCCTCCTCACGGCCGTCCTGGCTCACCAGTGCAGCTTCCAGGCCAATCCCGGCGAGCCCGCCAAAATGGATTTCACTTACGGCCTGAGCATCAAACCCAAGTCCTTCAAGGTCAACGTCAGCCTCAGAGAGTCCATGGAGCTCCTGGACAGGGCTGTCCAGACGCTACAAGCCGAGGAAGACTGCCAGTGAGAAGCCAGAAGCAAGCTGGGATTTCAGAAGGAGTTTGGGGGGGGGGGAGTAACGCTTTCCAGCTCCTCCGTGCCACTTTCTCTCAGTTGGCATCCAAAGGGAGCCCACGTCAGCACTGGGCTGTGCTGTGCGGGAGCTCTGGGGAGATTTCCTTTCCGTTCAAAGAGGCCCACAGAAGTTGTACACACACACGGAATGCTTTCTCCAGAGAGCATTCTTTGGAGGTGAAACGCATCTGGGCCCACATGCAGAACCGCCTGGTGAAGAGGTACTTCCAATAGCCATGCTTTCATGGGTGGGGTCCCAGGTGGATGTTCTGGGGGCTGAACAGCCGTTATAAAACCGTATTTAGCAAAGTTTCAGCACAGATTGTTAAATAGGCACAGGCAAATATTGATAACTTCAGTGTAAGACATGTGACTGAGGTGAGAGGGAAAAGATTCAGACCGGAAATTTCCTTCTCGTCTTGTCAGTACCATAGCTTAAGGGCAGTGGTCGGCACACTGCGGCTCGAGAGCCACGTGCAGCTCTTTGGCCCCTTGAGTGTTTTCTGCAAATGCCAGCTTAGGAGTGCCCTGATTAATTGAATAACAATGTACCTACCTGTATAGTTTAAGTTTAAAAAATTGGGCTCTCAAAAGAAATTTCAATTGTTGCACTGTTGATATTTGGCTCTGTTGACTAATGAGTTTGCCGACCACTGGCTCAGGGTATCTGTGGATGGATTTATCTTTTGGCCTACTGATGTGCTTTCTCATGCCTTTTTGGGTGGTTCATAAAGTCATTTGCTGAAAAGGAAATTCATAGTAGTTGGTTTAAATGATTATAGTGGGTTTCAGTAATTTATCATTAATTATAAAATGTAAGTAGTTAAATTGTAAAACATTCCAAGCTGTGTTGATTGCCAAAGTACAGAATTTTAATTGTAAGCAACATCTCCTCCCCCCCCCAAAAAAAAACAACGCACAAGTCTTACCAGCCCAGCTAAGCTTTAAATCATGTAATTGCAATGCACTGAGTTTAATAATTAGCATAGCTTTTTGAAAAAAAAAAATCATCCAATAGTACTCAGTATGTATACATATAATTAATTATTCATAGGCAATAAGTATTGGTTATTTTATTATTATATTCTTAGTATTACTTTGGTCAAGAAAAGGTTGCACAACATATATCTTTTATATTCTCATAGAAAATTGAAATGTATGACCAATTCTGTCTCAAATACTTGAAATGAGTTAGATTAAGTCAACTACCTATTTTTGACATGGAAACCAAGTTGAAGCAAAGCCTTGCCTTTCATCTAAAACTCGAATGACAACTGAAAAATCTCAAAATTGGATCTACAAGATGTCTCTTCCTTATTACTTTACAATATATTTATTAAAATTCTATTCATAATACAGAATCTCTTTTAAAAATTGACCAAGTTAATACGTTATAATTCCAAACTCATGGCACGCTTAAAATTTAATGTAATTTTAAAGACATTCTAATTATTGAGAAAAAGTTGAAGTTCCTGGAAATCTGACTGTTAGCCATTGGAACGCAGAGAAATTGCACCTGCGTTTCCTGATGAATAGCCAACAATGCAACAAATTACCTGGGTGTTATCTTTATTAAGAAAGAAGAGGGAAAATTATATAACAGACCTATTTTTTTTCTTTTAAATTATTTTTAAAAGTAGCATTAATGTCAGAGTTTTGGAAAGTCAGAATCAGAAGGCGTCCTTGGGGGCTGTTTTGTGCACTGTGTTGTGTATTGCTGAAGCTGGTCAGATGAATTGTGTTGTCTAAGATGGGCAACCCAGGGAGCTGTATCTTTGATAACTGAAAACATAAAGCCTGATCTAAATATATACATTCAATTTATGCAAATAATCTGAAAACCTTTAAAAAAAAAAGAGTACAAAATGAAATTTGAAAGTCTAACTTTCATCAAAATCATGAAGGAGTGTATCATGGTTGTGTGTGTAGGGGTGGAAAGATTAAAAAGTGAAAAACTGAAAAGGAAGAAAGATGGTTAAACACTTCCCTACCCATTCCAATTTAATTAATTTGAAATATGAATATTTTGAAAAAAAGATGTTTTTCGTATACCTTTATTGAATCCCAAGTAGACTTTTTAAAATCCACAACATATTAGATCTATTTTGTAACTCAAAATTCTTTTTTAATCCTCCCCTGAGGATGTGTTTTTATTGATTTTTCTTTAGTGAGAAGGGAAGGGAGAGAGAGAAAGAGAGAAGCATCAATATGAGAGAGAAACATCGATCGGTTGCCTCCCATATGCACCCTGACCAGGACTGAACCCACAACCGGGAATTGAACTCACAACCTTCTGGTGTTCAGGATGGCGCTCCAACCAACTGAGCCACCCGGCCAGAGCTGTAATTTGAAATTTTTTTTTTTAGTGGAAATTTCACATAATTTTAATTATAAAATCTCATAGCCGTTCATCTCGAATGAAATGAAAAACTGTTTGTGCCAGTATTTTTAAGGGCTCTAAAGTCAACTATAGAAATGAGGCCTACCAATACATTTAAACTTTTCTGGTGCTGGCAATTCCAAAATACTATTCCCTTCTCCCCTCCTCCCTCCAACGGGGCTGAGAATGTGACTTTGGGCTGTCTTATCCTGCTTATTCTGGGAGGTGTGCGCAGTAATCACATACTAATCTGGATGCCTTGTTAATAGACCAGATCCAGATGTGCTGTAATCTGTTTGTACTGCAGTTTCTATGGACGTGGGCTCAGCTCATGTGCTTTTTCAGCAGGGGGAAAGCTGTACTTATATAGAAGAAAGTAAGGTGGATGCTTAGAGCTTAGCTGGTTTATGTAATATGTTTCTAACCTAGTTAAAGGAAGGAAAGCAAACCCCAAAACAAAGAAAAATAATCAAATTTGGGGGCTATGGTAATCATGTTACTGGCTAATCAGAAAACCTCATTTTATTTCTGCCAGAGTGGGGGGGAAATGCACTTGCTGGTCACCATTATAGTCAGAACGTCTACTCCAGGTAATTGCAATAAAGTATAGTTAATATATAAATGCTTCATTTATATATTAAAGCTTTGACTTTATAAGAAAATTGCTTGTTTTCCAAAATAAAAAGGTGTCTCAGGTTTGGTTTTTTTTGGGTTATCTAAAAGCCTCCATGTCTCAGAACTTAGCCTGTACCTGTGAAATGGTATTATAGCCTTAATATTTTCATATTACATCTATATTAGATCAGATAATTGCATAGAATTATATATTCATTTGTGTGTTTTTTAGCTATGAAACAAATGTGTAATAAAAAGCTATACTTCATTAGATGTTTATAACTCAAAGATAACTTCTTATTTAACCTCTTATTATTTTTATATTTTATCATGTATGCTTTTAATCTGTACATAGTGACTATAATGCATAGTTGTACCTGAAATAGATTTTAGGGACACAGTATTAATATGTAGCTTTTACTGTTCGATATAGCAAATTAAAAATTCTAAATCTGTAATTACTCATAATAGGACACCATTGCCGAAATAATAAAAATCACTTTCATAATCATAAAGTTTTACTTTATGTTGTAGCAAATACAGCCTAATGCATCTATTCATTTTCAACTACTATTTTTAAAAATATATACTTTATTGATTTCAGAGAGAAATGGAGAGGGAGATAGAAACATCAATGATGAGAAAGCATTATCAATTGGCTGCCTCCTACATGGCCCACACTGGGGATCCAGAATCCAACCGTGACCTCCAGGTTCATAGGTTGATGCTCAACCACTGAGCCACGCTGGTCAGGCTTTCCTATCAACTACTTTTGTTAATTGATTAAGTTAAAATGTTGCATTGTAAGCATTTTATTTAGTCATTCTACATTTTAGGTTGCTTCTTTCCTTTCCTTTTTTTTTTTTTTTTTTTTTAAATAGGCTTATACCACTCAGCTTCCTACCAACTTTGTGACTTCATATTTTTGAATTTGTAAGAACCAACACAAACAGTCAGTTTGAATAGCAAACAACACCACCAATATCAAAATTAATGGGAATTCATTTTAGTTTTGAAAGATTGAATAGAGTGGGACTGTAAGACTCTGACCTTATATTTCTGCTAAAAAATGGAGGGCGCATTTTTCCTTGCAACAGCACATGAGTCTTTTTCTTGAGTATTTCATTCCTTGTTTTTGGTTTTTGGGTTTTGTTTTTTTTACATGTTTTATTTGGTTGATACACATTCATTCATTTGTTTTTAAAATACATACATATTAATTAATGTCCAATAAGATAGAATGGATGAGCATATTCTGTAATACACCGCAAGGGAATACTTTTCTGATGCTTATTTACCTGGGGAGAGACCTGGCTTCTCAGGGCCCCTCCGTGGTCTCCAGGCCTTCACAGCCCCACCCTCCCAGAGGGCAGTGCCATGCAGTGCCAAGGGCTCTGATCGCTTCCAGACTTTAGCTCCCATTGCTGCGAAAATGAGAAGAGAAATTGTGAAGTAAAATTGCACACCATGTTATTGATACACTGGCTTGAGAACATGACTTTAGCGGCCAAGGGTATGGCTAGGAATTGGTTTAACAGAATACTCACTTATTTTCCAGATGTACTAGCATAGGATCTTGGGAATAGTAATAAAGTTTCAGGATGATTGAAGTAAATATTTTCAAAGGAAAAAAAACACATTTCTTTAACAAAATCCTAATTGGGGTCAGGTGTTGACAAACATGACAAGCCGAGTTGGGTTGTACCCAATCAATGCGCTAGAACAGCAGACTGAAGCTCAGGGTAGGGAATGAATGCAGCTTGAGACAGAAGACAGGCGTGGTTGTTGCAAACTCAAGGTCATTTCTATAACCCTGAAGCCAGTCAATCTGTCTGCACAAGGACTTCAGAAGTTTTGGCTGCTAACACTCCCTTATTTTGGTTCAATGACTCATATAACTAAGGAAATTATGTGAAATCATGGTTAAAGATCAAGCTGTAATTTTTCATTCTTGTGGC